ATTGTGGGAAGGCGAAAGCGTGATCGTACACATCATTCTGCTGGTTTATACTTGAGAGATTATTTGATACTCTGAATCTATGGATTTGATTTGAAAACAATGATTGATTATCTTATGGTTTTATGAAAATGTTTTTAATAAAAATGAAAAATTTTGGCATGGTTTTCGAGATGTTACATTTGCTTTGGCTATACAAACAATTTGATATAATTGCATCCTAAAATTATGTTGCGATACATAAATATTGCAATCACCTTTGGACAGAAATACAATATTTATGCATATTATGCAGAAAATTCATTGTATGAATAATTATCCAATTGATCTTTGAGTTTCTTGAATAATAATTTAAATAATTGCTTAATGTGGTACTTAATAAACTCCAATGTCAAACTCAAAATAACATTTATTTGGTTCGGTCATTTAAGTTTAACATCAAATTACCACTCATCAAATTATTATTTATGATATAGAATATGTAGATAGAGGCCAATGAGATTTTCCAAGTTTATTATATCGGAGAATTAGACCCGTATAAATCATATGCCGGATTAGGATTGACATCGTAATACCCAAAATATAAGGTTTTTTCCAAAATAGACCCTACATTTATAGTTTTTTCCTAATTAAACCAAAAGTTTTATTTTTTTCCGAAAAATACCATATTTTTTGGTTATCCTTGTTATTTAGGTGGTATAATCGGTATCATCAGTTTCCATTCGCTACCTATGCTTCAAGATACCCAAGTAGATATGCAAAATTAGGGCTTTTCCAGAAATCACCACCACCGTCGACGGTGACTACGTTTGCACTGCCTGTTGCTCCAACGCACCAAACTGTGACTGATGATGGTCTATTCTACCTCTGTCACTGTCAATTGACGCCCTTCGCCCTCACATCCAACCTTGGCTAACGCCTCTTTCTCCTCCCCTTCCATCTCTCTGCTTCGTGAACCCTATGAGTGTTCAAAATAAGATCCAAGCTGCAAATTGCAATCAGTTTGTGTATATCCAACTCTCTCTCATATTTATGTATCGTGAATGTTTGTTGGCAGCTTGATAACTGCTTGACAAGCTTGCTAACCTTGATAAACACTCAAATCTATTCAATTAAATGACATAGACGCAACCTCTTGTTTCGGTTGTTAAAATAGCGATTAACATCTTGAAGAATTTTTGTTAGTTAATGTTTGTCTTGTTCTATATTTCTCTTCAGCATATAACTTATTGGCCTGACTTTCCAAACAAGCGATTGACCTTCTCTTAGATGTAACAGTTTCGTAATTTTATCCTCTTTTATTACTAGTCAAGAGTCCTAATTGTTTTTAGTTATTTTTCCATTTATGTTTTATACACAGAAATTACAAATTGAAGAATGCTTTTTAGTACAAATATATGAAGCAAAGCAATTGCTACAGGAACAGTTCTGTATTGTAATGGTACTATATCCATAAAGTTGAATAATTAACATTTTTACACTCTTATTTTATAAAAAATGTCATTTATTCATTTTCACATTTGATTTGTTGCAGGACGCTTTGTTGTTGTTCATGTTGGCAATGCTTGCAACAATTTTGTGGTTGTGAAATGCTTGCAATAGTTTTGTGGCTGGAAAATCTAAATCTTTTACTTGTTAATGATGAAAGATGTGGAACCTGGGATTCATGAAGGTAGTACATATATTTGGGCATTATACTTGACATCGTTTATCCATTAAGACATTGTACTTTAATTTATTAACATGATGTCAATGAAACTTGAGATGACAAGTTGTAGTTGCATTTATCTCAGTAATTAGGAATGAATAGTTATTGATGGGGTAATTTGGAGATAACACATAATTTTTTTAGTTCACCGACAAAAACCTTTATGTTGTTACTAATTTGTTTTGTTTGCAGTTTCTAGTTATAGTCTTGCTCTAAACACCTTCAGTAACACTTGCTTAGATCAGGAAGAGTTCTGGTGGCACCTAAGTGGTAGGACGATTACCTGATAAGCATGAAAGTAGATTAGCATACTTACTATTTGAATTTCTAGATAATGTTTGTTTGCAACTTGAATTATAAGTTAGTTGTTAGGCTTACGTATTATATAAACGTAACTAGTTTTGTTAATCAAGGTTTTTGAAAATCAAGTCACCATCTTCTCTCTTTCTTCTGTTGGCACTCACTCGAAGAGTGTAGGTGATTTACCTGTTTTGATCATATCATGATGTTTCTGAAAGGGTACTCTCTCTATTCTTTAATTTCTATTCTTAACTCATCTAATTTATTTTAAAATGAAGTTTTAATTAAATTATATTACATTAACAAGGTCACTACATCGATAAATGTTTTCTAGAAAGCTGTTATAAATGATGCCTTTTTAAATCTTTTATTATTGAGTCTTAATCCCCAATATGTCTAGTTAATGAGAAATGTACAAATTTAGTTCATAGATGTTACTTAGGACCATAGCGAGGAGGGTTCGGATTCTTGATTCTTCGAACCATAAAAAATTTAGACAAATGGCATAACTTCAACATAGAATCAAAATGATCATCCAAATCTAATGAAATACGACTTTTAATGAGCACATAACATTCATGGAGACAACTTGATAAAGCAAAAAACAATAGTATTTTGAGATTCATTTGAAAAAAACAAACACACACACACATTTTAGGTCTAAACCGGAAAAAAACACAAAATGTAGGGTCTTTTATGAAAAAAATAGTCAGTTTACCTGTTGGTGACCTGTTAGGGTCCGAAATAACAAGTTTCCGGTAAACTTTGGGTCTTTTTTGAAAAAACTAAAAGTTTTAGGTCTAAAAAGAAAAAAAAATCAAAATATAAGGTTTTTTATGGAAATAACCCAAAATATAATTCCAACTGTAATTTCTAATTAGTTGTCATTTAGGCATGAGCAAACGGACCGAACCGGTCGGAACCGGCCCGACCCGAACCCGAACCGAGAACCGGCTTCAGCCAAAATCAAGAATCGAACCGGCCCGGCGGTTCTATCGGTTCCGGTTCCGGGTCCGGTTTTTGCCGGTTTCGGTTTTGGAACCGGTATGATTTGACACGCTTCCTTGCGGGGCTTGTAACTCATTCAATTTTTAATCAAATCAAAAGTTTTTATAGTCTAAACTTAACTAGAAAACCTAAACTACGTGTAGGAAAAAGATTAGGTCAAAAAAACTTAAATTGAGTGAGTTATGAACATTTGAACAACAAAGTCAGATTACGTTTAATTGCTGTAACATAAAAAAAATCTGATTTGACACCCTTCCTTGCGGGACTTGTAACTCATTCAATTTATAACCAAATCAAACGTTTTTATAGTCTAAACTTAACTACAAATCCTAATCTACATGTAGGAAAAAGATTCAGGTCAAAACAAGTTAAATTGAGTGAGTTATGCACATTTGAACAACAAAGTCAGATTACATTTAATTGCTGAAACATAAAAAAAAATTCTGGTTTGACACCCTTCTTTGCGGGGCTTGCAACTCATTCAATTTGTAACCAAATCAAGCGTTTTTATAGTCTAAACTTAACTACAAATCCTAATCTACATGTAGGAAAAAGATTCAGGTCAAAAAAAGTTAAATTGAGTGAGTTGTGTACATTTGAACAACAAAGTTAGATTACATTTAATTGCTGAAACATAAAAAAAAATTCTGATTTGACATCCTTCTTTGCGGGGCTTGTAACTCATTCAATTTTTAACCAAATCAAGCATTTTTATAGTTTAAACTTAACTACAAATCATAATCTACATGTAGGAAAAAAATTCAGGTAAAAAAAGTTAAATTGAGTGAGTTATGCAACTTTCAAAAATTAAGTGAGTTATCCGGTCCGGTTCCCGGTTTTGGGCCGGTTCCAACGACCGGTTCTTAACGGGTCCCGGTTCCAAAAATTGACGAAATTATAGTACCGGTCCCGACCCGACCGGTTCCATCGGGTTCCGGTTCCGGGACCGGTTCCGGCCGGTTCCCCGGTCCATATGCTCATCCCTATTGTCATTGATATCTAAATGTATTACTTCTGCCACTACAATGACAAATCGATGGCCAAACCATTTTTAAAGGTTCATAAACATTTATTTGTAATGAATTTCTAATATGTTAGTCATATCCAATATCAATGAGTAAAAAAAATAAAAAATACTTTCATGTACAAAACTAAATAAAATAAACGAATAAACAAAATTGTATGCCACACAAGCAATTGATTTGTGTCCAAGACAATGATTTGATTCATACAACATCCATCTAAAATTTATAGATGGATATAATATATAAACATGATTTTGTACTAAATAAAAGTGGAATTGAAATTCTACTTAATATTCAATGTACCGACGTGAAAATTTAAATAAATGTTTTTGATATTTGTATGCATATGTTATACATAGAGTAATGAACATACAAATTGTGACTAAAAGGGATTAAAATTCTATGGTTGCATTAAATACATATAAAACTCTCAATATCTTACTTGATGTATCATATTTTAGTTTAATCCAAAACAAATAAAAATTAGAAATCATGAAAGCACGAATCGAAAGTCATGAACATAAGCAACCAAGTAGTCGATATCGCGATGGACATAAGCATCAAAAGCCTCAAACACCTTATTAATGATTGTCCCACGTAAGTTGTCATGAGAAAAACCTAAAAAAATCATTTATAAGTAGTAAATGAGTTAAAAAACAAATATGATTTATTTTGCAACAAAAAAAATATTAATGACTAAATCTGTACAAAAATATTACGAACTAAATGTGTACAAAGTAAGAAATATATTACCCTATTAAGTCATTTTTACCGACTAACCTGAAATAGCCGGTCATAAAGACTGAATGTGTACAGTTTAATAAATTGAAGGGGTAAATATGGACGAAAAAAACTCATGACCACAAATTGAAAAATATATTACTAGTTATCCAAAAAAAAAAAAAATACAAACTGGAGGACTATTTTTGCAATTTTGTCGATCATTGGTGCCCCAACAACGCATGTCCTCGGACTCCTCTGTCTCTCACTCTCTGCGTCTCGCCGGCTGCCCCCCTATTCCCGCTGCCACTCTGCTCCGACTCACCGCCTGCTACTTCCCCCAAGCGCTTGCTCCAACACCCCCTGCTCCGCCTGCGGTAGCCGCCTCTAAACTATGTTCCCGAGTCATTTGCAAGGAGGGAAGTGAAGAGAATCGGGAAGAAACGGAAAGAGAACGTTTTCCTCAGAATTCTTTTGGAATGACTCAGATAGAAGAGAAAGGAAGATACATTGTAATTTTCTATCCTAGGATTCCTCCCAAATTGAGGGGATTTGGAGAGAAAAGAATCGTTTACTAATCCAAATCTTGTACAATTACCTAATTACCATACGAACACATCACACATTCTCACATCTCCGCTGCAAAATCAACCTCCTCCAAGCCGCTCCAGCGTTCATAAGCGGTAAGCCTCTGCCTCCATTGGTCCCTACCACCGGTACTTCTTCTTTCTCTTTTGTTTCAAGCACAGTTCAAAGCTATAACATCTTTTCTTGATTATTGCCGACTCTGCATTATTTTCTTGATTATTGTCGACTCTACAATTGTATGATTGTTATGGTCATTGATAATTGCCTAGGCGCCACGATTACTAAAGCATTTCTCTAGCTTATAATTCCATCCACTAAATTGGTCAATTATTTAACCTAACCATAGTAAAGAATCACCAACCAGCATTCAGTATTTTGATAGTTTGAGCAAGCATCACTTACAATGACAGACCCTTAAGTGGGTTTCTCACTCCCTCTTTCTCTATAGTTTTTTTATAATTAGTTATTTCTGTACTGTTAATTGTGGAAATGGTTTGTTGATTTTTTGTTTGTTACTATTAGTTATTTATTGGATGTGTTGCAGAATGAAATATAATTGTTAGATGGAATTCTAATTTAAGTTAGATATAGTTTTCAAAACAGAGGAAACTATCCGTTATGTGGTATTTTTCTATATACGTTGTATGCTGATATATGAACCAAACCAGGCACAAATATATAAAAAATTCAATCCCTATGTAAGACAAGCACAAATATACAAAAGAATTGGATTCAATTCAATCCCATTTTTTATATTAGCATAATTGATATTGATAATATATTAGAAATCATGTGTTTGACTTTTTATATTTGACCTGGAAGTCAAACTATACCTAGCAAAAAGGTGCATATATGTTGTTTTTCATCCATAACAGTAAAATGAAAACAAAAAAAGTGTTAACTGCAAGAAATTGCAACATTCTTTCATTAATTTGTTTTTGCACTCTACTTTCACTTCTTTGTATTACAACATAATACTTTACAAATCTACCCTATTATAACAATATCATCCGAATCCAAAGTAATTTTTACCGTTATAGTTGGGTGGATTTTTCAAAATATAAGGTTCTAATAAGATAAAAAAAAAAATTGAAAGTACAATGTCTTAATGAGAGAAAAAAAAAATTGTAAGTACATGTTATAGAAAGTAAATGAAAGTAGGATGCTATAGTACACAAATAAATAAAAGTATGTTACTATTTCGTGCATTTAGGTAAATCTTCTAAATACACCACTGCAGTTTGCCAATCTCCACCAGATAGATATTCCATTATGAGGTACAAAAAATTTTCATCTTAATATGAACAATAAAGCTTAACAATACAATTGCTATTAACTTCTGCAATTACGTTCCCTTCTGTTTTCACAAGTTCAACCTAAAAACACTCAAACAAAAGTCAATTTAAAGCATTTAGAATACAAGAAAACGGCTTGACAATTGACAGAAGTGACCTTCTACCTGGCCTCTCTATGAAGCATTGCAGACTTCTTTAGTTTTTTCATTGCGTACACATTTCCAGTTTTCTCCCTGCATATTCTAACCTGAAAAGAACAGAAAGACCAATATACCCTTAAATGAAATCCTAATGGCAACTTATGTTTTTAACCAATAATGGCAGCATACTTATATTGTTAAGGTATAATAGCTACACACTTATCTTTTTAATCAATAATAACTACACGCTTATCTTTTTAACCAATAATAGTTGTGCACTTATCTTTGGAAACAATAAATTTACATGGGAATTAAAGAAATGATAATCCAATAACTAGTTTGGGCTTGCTGAGATGAAAGAAGAAGGAGAACAGGGTGTAAGAGGCCAGTAGAAACTGACATAAGAATTAATTAATTATTATTTAGTTATATTATGTATTACATTGTGTATATATACTAAGAATTGGTTTTAGCTTTTTTTGTCATTTCCTAAAGGGTGTTTTTGAATTATCATGCCCAGCTTTCTTGCATTATGAAATATGAATTGTTGGTTTACATTCTACATCATATGCGTGCATTTATATAGGGTTATATTCTTCAGTTTTTGGAAGCATATAAAGTTTTCTAGTAGTGTGAAGATCACATCTAATAAATCTGATAATTTCTTGTTGCAGGTATCTCATCATTAATCGAATTACTCAATGCACCGAAGATATTTATCATCATCATCATCCATTCTCTCTCATTTCAATTCTCTGAACAAACTCCAATCAAGTCCATCCCACCATTTAGGTCACTCAAGAACCCTAACAACAGCAGACACAACCCCAGATCATTCATATGCAGACATACCAAAACCTCCCAAGAGCAAGTCCGAGAGAAAACCCTACCCAACACCCATGAAAATTCTGGTTCAAAGAGCCAAACAAGAAAAAGAAGCAAGAAAGGCACAACCATGTAAATTACTGGAAGACCCCCCGGACAATGGCCTACTTGTTCCAGAACTCGTTAGTGTAGCCCATCAAGTTTATCAAGCTAGAGAATCGATATTACTCGGTTTATCAAAGCTTTTCAATGTCATTCCAGTTCTTCGATGCAGGTATAAATTAAAAAAAAAAAAAAAATCAACTTTTGTCCTATTGTCAATTTATCATCACTATTAGTCAAATACAGTACAAACTGTTCTGTTTTGTCCTGTATTGGTTTTCAGGCATTGTTTTGAGGTTCACATCGGTCAGATCGGGCATGAGATCAGGACATGTAGCGGTCCAAAAAGCGGTCTTCGAAATGCTACCCACGTGTGGCGAAAAGGAAGGGTACACGACGTAATTTATTTTCCAAAATGTTTCCATCTTTATGACCGTGTTGGGAAGCCAAGAGTTATACATAATGAAAGCCGCTCCTTTAAACAACTTCCCGCCATTGTTGAGCTCTGCATACAAGCCGGATTGAATCTTGAAAACTACCCCACAAAAAGAAGAACAAGACCCGTGTATAGCATCGAAGGTCGGATTGTAGATTTTGAGGATACCCAAGTTGATTCTAGTTTGGATCTTTCTTTGAACAGTGACATGCAACCCAAGGGCGATTTAGGGATTTGTGATTTGAATACGAGGGAAGTAAGTAGCATGGTGTTGGATTCATGGTTTGAGATGATATCAGGGGCGAAGAAGATGATGGAGAGATATAAAGTGCATACGTGTGGGTATTGTCCCGAGGTTCAGGTGGGTCCCAAGGGGCATAAAGTTAGGATGTGTAAGGCGTCAAAACATCAGTCTCGAAATGGTATGCACGCGTGGCAGGAAGCGACGGTTTTTGATCTGGTGGGACCGAACTACGTGTGGCATGTTGCTGACGTGGCGGCGGGGGGTCCACTTTGTAATGATTTGAAGAGGTTTTATGGGAAGGCTCCTGCGGTTGTTGAGATGTGTGTGCAAGCGGGGGCACGGGTCCCGGATGAGTATAGGAGTATGATGAGATTAGATGTTGTTCCTCCGTGTCGTGATGAATTGGATCTTGTTACATGATGAATTCGATTTAAACTGGTTTTACTTTGGAATAGGGAGTTGATATTTGATGTACTACTAGTTTTTATGTCAGATTAGATTGGTAGATTTATAGTTTTTTTTTTTTTTTTTTTTTTTTTCCTCTGGCCACTGGTCTTATGATATTTATAACCTGTGAACATATGGATGTAGATGATCAGATATCATTTTCATATTTTCTTGTGTTTATATGTTTGTATTCCTTAGCGTTGGAAATTTGGACATGATCTATGACATTTGAGTTTTGAGGTTATAAATTACAACTTATATGAAAGAAACAGTTTATTATGGTGAGGTTTTTCAATCAGGCTTTGATTTTACAATTCTGATAATACGGAGTAAAAAACGATTCTATGTAATGTCTCAAATTTGATACTCGTGATGGATATACTTGCAAGTTTTTATTTATTTATTTTTGGTTTAGCATTTATTGTCATTTTTAATATGAAAAAAATAAGAAAATAAAATATGTTCTCATTGGTATTTTGGTCGGTCTAAGCGAATGATAAGTAGAGCCGTAATTAGATGACATGATAAATGGGTACGTGACTTGTGACGAATGAAAACTAGACAAAATAGATTTGGACCAAAACCAGCATACGTTATCGTACTATAAGCATAAGTTCACTTTTGTAAATCAAACATATGAAAACTAGATCCCTATTTTATATATTTTATAATTTTAATAGGATCTAATGTGAACTAAAGTGATAAAGTGATATGACCACCGTTTTGTTGGGGTTGTAATTTGATGTTGTGTTAGTTCTCACACAATAACGGGTAAAACACACGAGACCCTCTAAAATACCAATAGAAAAGGACAACACATACCAATCTCAAACTCCAAAACTATACTATTGCTAAGGTCGTTTGGTTTTAATATACATAATAATTCGGTTTAAAGATGAGATATATCTTTGAGAAAATGTAAGAATGATCTTTGTGGCTTCACTCCGAAAAAAATTTGGACTTATATCTGTGGTCTAAAATCGGATACATTTTAGTTTTGGTCCTTCCCATACTTCAAAAAAAAAAAAAGACTATTATTCATTTTAATTTAATCTTTTTAAATTATTTATTAAATAATTAAAAATATAAAAATAACCCACAATACCTTACCGTACACCTCTTTATATATATATATATATATATATATATATATATATATATATATATATATATATATATATATGGGTGACAAATCGTGCTATCGTTTCGTGTTTCTGTCTGACACGACACGACACGACAAAGTTTTATGTAACACGAACACGACACGACACGATGTCGTGTTTTTTTTTAACTAACACGAAAACGAACGAATTAAAAAACGACGAACACGACACGACACGACAAATATAATATATACTAAATACTAGTTTATTTAATGAACACTTTATCAAATATAACACGATAAACACGAAAAACACGATAAAGAACTGCTAAATCGTGTCAATTTCGTGTCGAATTTTGAACACGAACACGACACGAACACAAATTCAAATTTCAATTTCGTCCCAATTTCGTTTCGTGTCGTGTATTTTTGTCGTGTGGTGTCATAAATTGCCACCCCTTATATATATATATATATATATATATATATGAGAAAACTTTAACATTTTCCTATCATCCGAACTATCCTTCCACCATTGACCACCACTATCGCCACCCTTGTCCACTGCACATTGAGACCAAAAAGGTGGTTCACCACCATGTCTAGGCATGCAAATAAAAATCATAAATCTGTCTTAGCTACGTTTTCAACCAATTAAAGATTTTGTTCAAATTGAACACATATGAACAAATTCATCTTTCTCTCTCTCTCACTCTCTTTCCAATTCAACACACACATGCACAATGATGAACCGTATGAAGATTTGGGTTCAGATTCAATACACATGAACTCAAACATACTCCAAAATTGACAGACATAAACACACCCAGAAAACCTAAAAATCGACACATATGTAACATAACTTCGATTTCGTCTGTAGACCCCCAAATTTAACACAAACCCCTGAAGATCTCGTTTTGATTTCGCCTTTAGATCTTAAGATTTAACACAAAACCCTCAAGATTTTGTTTTGATTTCCTCTTCAAATATCCATATTAAATAATAATAATAATAAAAATTAAATAAAAAATAAAAATGAATTATTCAAGAGGTAGATTAATAATTTCGAGTTTGTATGGGACTAAATACAAAAAAGATTAAGGGCGTGTTTGGTACAGAGCGTTTGAGAGTTTCTAGCTTCTAGCGTTTGACAAAACGTTCCGTTTTGAACAGAAAACCTCGTTTAACACTAAAAACTTCTGACGTTTAGTTTAAACAAAATGCTCCAAATCCAAATGTTATTTCATGCAGCGTTTAATAAAACGCTACAAGCTAACTGCTACCTTCTACACGCTACAAGCTATCCGCTACCAGCTAGTTTTGCCGAACACGCCCTAAGTTTGAGAGAGATTAAAACCATAAAGAATATCCAATTTTCAATTTTAAACCAAGTATACAAATCACACTTTTTTTTTTTTTTTTTTTTTGTGTGTGTAGTAAAACCATAATTTTATTTATTTATTTTTTGTAGTGAAATCATTTTTTTTAGGTAGTGAGATCATAATTTTTTTGACAACCGATAAGTTATGGACCATTCTTGCATTTTCGTGTATATCTTTTGAAGGTTATATAGTTTGACGATGGAAAACTATGGTGCTGTTTGTTTTTCTATAAAAACCTCTTCAAACCGCATAACACTTTCCCTCTCGCAGCAGTTTGTTTTTTTGGAAGGCTTCAGACTACAAAACCTCTGCGCATGTGCTGCGTGGCGCAGCACTTGACTTGCCTCTTCTAACCTCTTCAGCTTTCATTTTTTCTAAGTGTTTTTTTAAGAACTTTTGTATAACTTTTTTTTAAACTTTGATTTTCTTAAATTTTTATTTACGGATGTGATACAATTTATTTTTATAATTTCCACGATTTTTTTTAACTTATTTTTTTAATTTTTTTTACCGTTTTATTAATAATATTTTCAATTTCAGTTGCATCTTTTTTAACGTGTGTAATTTTTTACGAAATTTGTAGACATCGTTTGCAATACTTTCTTAATTTTTTTATTATTTTCTTTTTTAATGTTTTTTAAAATTAGTTTTTTTTTTCTAGAATAAAACTATTAGCTTCTTTTATATTTTTTTAAGTTTTTTTTTTAAAAAAAAGTTTTATATTTTTGTTTTTTTACATGTTCTTTTTATTATTATTTCAATGTTTTAATACTAGAATTATTAAATTTCGGTGTTGAGAATTATTTTCAGTTTATAAAATTAGTTTATTTAAATTTCAGTTTACTGCAGCAGTCTGCAGATGTTAAAAAACAAACATGCTTCTTATTATAGTCTGCAGCCGTTTGTTCCACCTCTTCTGCTACAGAGGATTGCTAAGATGGTCCACAGACTTCATGAATTTTCGCTTCGAAAAAACAAACTGGCACCTGTAAAAAGATTAGACATTAATTCCGAATATAAATTTTGCATTTTCGTGTACTTCGTTTCCATTACATACAACGCGTAACTTGCTCACAGAAAATCATCTTATTTTTCACCTTCGTTACCAAATAAGAACCCTAATTTCACCCTCTTAAATCTTAGCATTCTCAATGATCATCCCTAGCCTTTCTATTACAATTGCTACGACGGTGAAATAAAGGCAACGACACATCCCCAACGATAGAGGATTTCAAGGATCCCCCCAAGAGGTATGTCTTCTATATTTCTGTAATTTTAGAGTGCCGGATGGCACTTGCCTGGCAAATTAGGGTTACAGTCGTAGATTTTATCAATGGTCTTTCTGAGTTCGGTGTGTATCTGTGTTTTCACTTGTACTAATTGAATTATTTTTATCGCCAATTATGCAACACACTCCTTTTTCGTTATAGAAGCATGGTATAGTGAACGAGCCAGTACACTATAGCTGTATGTGGTTCAGTTTCTTAATGCTGCTATCAGTTTATTAATTTGTGCATAAATATAAACAAATAATGAAAGATGGAAGTGAATTTGTATACTGAGATTTAGTTGAGCTTTTCATGTAGGTATTTGTGGAGTTGAAGGATCTTGGCGATAAAATTGCATCAGAACAACTGGTAGCTCAAACTCTGATCTTTATTGGAAGAGTTGTTGCTGTTTCACTGTTATGGAACACCCTGATGATGATTCCCATGGAGTTGGTGAAAACCAGAGTAAGCAAGATGATAAGGTAATAAGATTCTGGTGTATGAAATGTATGAGTTTTTATAACAAAAAGATGTGATGAAAGTGGTCATGTTGTTCTACGTTTTTAATGAGTATTGAAGTCAATTATGTCCACAGATCAACTCTGTTTATTTCTTGTTGCAGGTATCACGTCGTGAAGAATTAAAGAAATCCTTAGTAGCAAAATTGGCTCTTCGTCAGAGTAATTTGAATCCTGAAAGACCTGGTTAGTAGTCTTTCAAACTCCTTTTTTAAGCTTCTGTGAATTATTTATTGAAATTCTTTTTAACTTTTTTTTTCACCAGACTCCAGTGCCTTGCGAACATTGGACTCTAGCATCAAACGTAACACAGCAGTTATCAAAAAACTTAAACAAATCAATGAAGAGCAGCGTGAAAGTCTTATGGATGAATTAAAAAATGTCAACTTAAGCAAATTTGTGAGTGAAGCAGTGGCTGCAATCTGTGATGCCAAGTTAAAAAGTTCAGACATACAGGCTGCAGTTCAGGTAACTACCTTTTTCAGATGCTTCATCACACATTTCAATTTGAGTTTTATTTATTTATTTTCCTGTAAATCAGGTCTGTTCATTGCTTCATCAAAGATACAAAGATTTTTCTCCAACTTTGGTCCAAGGCCTTATGAAAACATTCTTTCCTGGGAAATCTTTAGAGGATGTAGATGCGGACAGAAACTTGAAGGCCTTGAAAAAGCGAAGTGCTTTAAAACTTCTACTTGAACTGTTTTTTGATGGAGTTATAGAAGATACTGGAATTTTTATAACCATCATTAAGGATCTTGCGAGTTTAGAACATCTAAAAGATAGAGACA